TGGAGGCTGGAGCAGGGAAACAGCGAATGCCTGACTCAAAATTCCCAACAAACCTTGTGTGCAGAGTCCCTCTGCTGAACCATGGACTCATCAAAGTTCCCCCCACTGGTTGCTGCTGCCTCACTGCAGTTGTATTTGCAGGAGGGTGGTTTGGGGTCATTTTGGGTTGGTTTGTTCTGGTTTATGGCTGTGCAGAAGCCTTGGGCAGGGAGGGATGTTCCCACACACCCCCAGTCTAGTTGGTTTTGTACAAAACAAGGACAATTCTCATTCTGTACAGCACGATGGATAAAGAGCCTGGTTTTCATAGAACCTTTATTTATAAATACCTCCAAGTCTTTCCCCCCCCTTGATTTAAAAATAGAAGCAGAGCCATAAAACCCTGTGCAAAATGCTTGGGATGTTTCCTTTGAGCTGTCGGGAGGGAAGGAATCTGAGGGAGGAGGAATGGCTTTGGTGTTGCTTTCTTGGAAAGCTGCTGCAGCTGAACTTTGCTGCTCTGCAGACACCAGGAGACAGCTGCCGTGCATGGGGAGGGGGACCAAGCTCTGGGCCCAGGGAGTTGTTTACATTCAAGAGAAAGAAACAATGTGAAAATGTGTCTTTGCTCTGAAAAACGACCATGGAAAAACAGCCCTTGGGGTTGCATGTGGTTATCATCACGCAGTGTCTCCAGATCCTGGTAAATAAAGCTGTTTTTCTGGCTGCTGCTCCAGCAATCCCCAGGATCAGAGCTAAGCGGGTCCCTTCCAGGTTAAGCACGGACTTTCACGGAGCCCCGGGCCCTATTGCAGCAAATCTGCCCCAATCCCCGAGTCTCTCACCGTCCTAACCTCTCCCACGGCTCCAGTCCGCCCAGGGGGGTGATGTAAATCAAATCCCTCCTACAGACCATGCCTGTCCCTTTTCCGTGCTGCATGTGTGGATGGGGACACAACACAAGTTTTGTTTTTTTTTTTTCCTCCAGCACAGAGTTTTCGTGTCACCCTCTCTTTCTGTCCCCCGTTTCTGCTCCCTCTTTGAGCCAATGCTGCTGGTTAGAGCAGCCTTTGATTAGGGGCAGCGTTAATTGCCCATTAAGCTTCGTGTTACCCATCCCCTGGTGTGATTTCCTGGCCGTTTAAATAATCCTTAACTTTCACTGTCACCCACTGAGCTCTGTTGGAGCTCCGGGGTGGCAGGTGGGACACAGGTGATGCCTTGGGTGCATCCTTACCCTGGCCCGGGGGTTTTCCTTGGCTTGGCAGGAGGCAGCGCTGGCCAAGCCTGCACCGTCCAGTCCTTTGTGAATTAAATCCCTTTCCCAATGCTTAAATTACCATCACAAATCAGAATATCTGAGGACCTGATTTCCCCCCCCCAGGACTACTTTGCTGTAGGGTTCTGTGTCCCTTCTCAGGCCATCCTTCCTCTGGATCAGCCTTGCAGCTGGGAGCAGTGTGAAAAACCACTTTTGAGCGATGTGAATGGGCAGAGGCAGCTGCTAGGACAGCCCGAGGAGCACAGATGCTCCAGGACACCAGACACAAGGGGAGACATCCTGTCCTTAAAATACTCTGGCTCCCAGTAAGAATTCAGAGAGGTGCCATGGGACGGTGGAAAGGCAGCCCGGGGAGGTCCTTGTCCCCCCAGGCAGGGACACTCACGCTATATTGGGTGCCCTAAAAGCCCCCCCAGCAGCTGCAGCAACACGTGCTCTGGGGCTGCCCCCGACCTCCCCTCTGCCCACGGAGCGATGGAGCCACTCGCTGGTTATTTTTGCCGAAGCCCAAATTCTTGTTTTCCTTGTTTTTTTTGGGATAATGACAGGCTGCTGGTAGAGGCTGAGCGTGACCTTTGCAGCAACAAGAGCTTTGCTTGGCAAGAGCGCCTCGGTGCCCATTTATAACCCTCTGTTGTTCCTGTTCTCTCTTCTTTTCAGCCTTAATGTCAGTGTTACCTAGAAACAGCCGGGCACCCTTACCCCGGGACCTCCTGGCAGGCTGAGAACTTCACCAGCGCTTTTCTTCTCCTTTTTCTCCCCGGTGGAAGCTGTGCTGAGAGTGCAAATGAATTCGTGAGGGCTTGGGTGGTGCTGGCAGCCCCCAGCCCTTCGCTGCTCAGAGCCCTGGGATGGTCCCAGAGGGACACAGGGCAGCAATACCCAGGGAAGAGGAGGTGCCCAAGTCCACCCAGCCTCTCACTGGGCTGGGGACGATCCAAAAATAACAATTGTGCCGTGGCTGGAGGCTGTAGTCCACCTGTGAGATGATTTCCAGTCATTTCCATCCCATGGGGATCATTTCTAACACCTCCATGGGTGTGGGCTCGACTTGGTTGCTAATGAAATAAGCTGCTGCTCAGGCGAGTGAGGATTAACAATAAATATCACTAATTCCAGCCACATCTCCGCAGCACAAACCCTGCTAGGTCTGGAGCCCATTTCACGGGGGCTCTGGAAGAATTCTCTCCTGTGGTGGATGTTTCTAGAGCAGGAAGTGAAAGGCATTTCCCCACGCTGGGTCTCTCTGTTTGTTCACCCCCACCCCGGTGTTTTGGGCCTCGCTGTGTTTTCTTCCCCTCCCGCTCCAACAGAGCAGCTGCAACTTTTCAGAACTGCAGTTGCTTCATCCTTCCGACCCCTGCAAAGGGAATTTGTACACAGCCATGTTTCAGGGCGATGGTGGGATGTGCTCCAGCTTTTTGTCCAGCTTTTTTTTTTTTTTTTTTTTTTTTTTTTTTCTGGCTGGCTTAGCCATCTCCATCTGCTTAGGGAGAAGCAAAGGCAACACAGAGGCGTGCACAGAGCTGGTCTGGAGTGAGGAAAACGCGAGGGGACCCAGCCCACCACCTCTGCTCCTTGTTTTTCTTTGTTCCCACAACCTCTAACTGTGAAAGGAGGGAGCAGCACCCCAGGGCTCTGCCTTGGGTGCCTTGCTGGGTGTCCCCATCCTCAGGAGAGCCTGGCCCCAGCCACGAGCTGTTAAAGGCTGAGATGGGAGCCACGGTCTCTCATACAAAGGCTGAGTTTGAACAAACCATTCGTGTGCAGGGATCCCAGCCCGAGCCGCGCACACGCAGCTGCACCGGAGCAGAGCGAGCTCATGGCAACAGCATCACTCGAGCCCCGCCATCCCCCCCGTGCTCATTTCTCCCCTGCCTCCTCTCATCCCCCCCGTCTCCATCTGGTCTCCAGCATCCAGCAGAGCCCCAGCATTCCGGGGGGAGCCCGTGTCCCTCCTCGCTCCGTGCTGGAGCCTTTGCATAGCGACAGGAATGAATTTGCCTTCCCCTCCCCCTGCTCCCAGATCTGGACCATCAGACACGCTCTGGCATTGATTTCCTTCGTGCTCGGCTTCCTAGAGCCATTTTGTGGTATTGCAGGGGAGGGCTTTTCTTTCTCATCTCCTGCGTCCCGCTCCCTGAATAAACCTGGCTGCAGAAAAAAAAAAAATACCGCGGGCAGGGTTTTAAATGCGGCGGAAAAAGAAATAAATATTGGATTTCCTTTAATGCATCGCTAATGGTGGCTGCACAATATTTTTGTACAGGGCAGTTTCGGGGGGGGGGGGGTTCTGTGCCAGCACAGCCCTGTGGGGAGCTGAGGGGTGATGTTTTGGGTTTGACACCCTGTGGGGCTGCTGGGGTGTAGCCGTGGAAAGGGGTTTTAACCCTTTAAGGGCGGCGGAAATAAGATGCACGGCTACATGGTGGTCTTTCATGACAGGAAGAAAGAGCCAAGTTTATTCAGAAACACACTTGGTTTTATAGCATGACTGCAACTCCCAGAGTAGAGAAAAGGTGATTGGTTCAGAGAGAAGACACCCCATTGCCAGGGCCTGGTCACACACCACAACAGGTGTTTTATTTTGTTATTAATTCCTTTTTATTTTGACCAAATTATCGCTCTGGGAGAAATTCTCCCTGGCCTTGAGCTGGACCAGCTCATCGGCTGGGAACAGAGCTGAAAAGCTCCAGCCTGGGATATTTTTCAGGCTGTAATTTTCTTACTTTCTCAATATGTGTCCTACTCTGGGGTTTGGGGTGGGGGTCTCCAGCTGGCTTTAACATCCTGCCTTTCTCTTTTTCCCCCTTTTCCCCGGCGTTCCCCACAGAAGCTGCTGATGGTAACTCGACCCTGGGCGGTGGCAATGGCACGATGGGGCTGAGCGCCCGCTACGGTCCCCAGTTCACCCTGCAGCACGTCCCCGATTATCGGCAGAACGTCTACATCCCTGGCAGCAACGCCACCCTCACCAACGCCGCCGGCAAGCGCGACGCCAAGAACGCCGCCCCCGCCGGGGGCAACAAGAAAAAATCCGGCAAGAAGGAGAAGAAGTAGTGAAGAAGAAAAAAAAAGGAGACCTTAGAGCTACAGGGCAGCCGGCTCCAGCACTCCCCCCAAAACCACAGCTCAGGCCGGAGGACGAATGTGAAATTTTTTTTTTTTTTTTTTTTTTTTTTTTTTTTGTGGTGCAAAAGTAGGAAATGCTGCGAATGTATCTCGTCATCACCAGAGCTGAGAGCAGGGGCTCGCTGCTCTCAGGTCTCGTGATGGAAACCAATCCGGAATCTAAACCGAACGCAAACAAGTGCCCTGTGAATAATGTTTTATACAGTCCCTCGGGTATTAGAATATGCAAGGGCGGAAGGTCTTTTGCCGTGTCTTTGGATCCGATTTGCTCCAAGTTAGTCCGAGGAAAGGCACAAGGCTTGTGCTCGGCTTTGCCCAGTGTAAATAATTTTAATGTGGATCTTTTAATTTATAGCCCTTCAGCTATTTTTTGGAAAGGAAAAAGGAAGTTCTTAGCTTAGAGCCCATGCTCCAGTTCTTCGCTCTTAAATTTTCCATTCGTAAAATTCACCCCCAGTCAATGATAGCGATGGATTTTGGAATTTGGAAGTTGGTAGGGAGTGCTTCAGTTCCTGCTTACCTGTCATCTGGAAAAAAAACAAAAAAAAATTGTTTATATTGCATGAGTCAAAGGGAATATGGCAAAGCTGCATCCTAAACATTTTTGGTTTTGTTTATTTGTTCTTTTAAAGTGTAACCACTAATGGCCTGAAATAAGATAAGGAAAAAGCCCTCCTGCTGTGTGAGAGGCAGGGAATTCCATGAGGAGCACGCCGAGGTGTGCGGCAGCTGCCCCGGCGCTTCTAGGGGTCTCCGAAGAAGCAGACACATCTCAAACCTTCTTTTTTTTTTTTTTTTTTTTGCAGTAAATATTTATATGTACAGTCGATGTTCTTATGGAATTAAGGCTAAGAGAGCCTCGCTCCCCTCGCGGCCAGGCTTGGCCGGGTCCCCCTCCCCTCGCCCGGGGTTGGAGGGGACACGGGGACGAAGCTTCAGTGTCTGCACACGGTGTCTGCATGCACGTCCCTCACCTCACACCTGCACTAGCGCAGTAGCTCCACGGACCCGCACAAAGTCCTCGCATGCCCACGGGGCGTGAATCGCGCCGGCAGCGCCCGAGCTCCGTGCCGGGGCTGCCCTGGGGAAGGGCTGGGTGGGGAGGGGGTGGGATGGTTCAGGCGGGTTGGGGGAAACTCGTTTTTGCTTCTCGTTGGGGACCCCCAAAGGTTGTTTGGGGTGGGCGGGCGGGTGTTACGGGGCGGCTCTTGGGGTGGGATGCGCGGAGCTGCCGGTGCATGGCTTTGGGGCGGAGTTGGTGGCTCAGTAAGTGATGGTTGTGGTGGTGGTGGTGGCGTTTGGGGACCTGATCCGGACAAGGGAACCGAGAGCAGGGGGTGACGCTGCGAAATGGGGGGGGCAATAATTGGGGGAGTGTCACATGAGACCATGCGGGGCCAGCCCGGAGGAGGGGATGATCCCGCTGGCTTTGGGCTTTGTACCCTGCGGGGAGAACTGGAGGATGAGGATTAGAAAGATTCTCCATGTGCCCATCACCACAGCACCAGGCCAGCTTCCCATAGCAGAGAGCTCTGAGCCCCCGGGGGAGGCAGATGGGGGCTTTGTGTAGCCAGAGCCAGGAGAGGAGCTGCGGGGTGGCCAGGAAGGGGCCACGCCGAGTTTCCCAGGGGGGGTGTGTGTTGTTTTTTTGGTTTTTTTTCTTCCCTTTTTTAATCACTAACACGTAACTCACCCGAGCAGATCCAGCCCTTTCAGCCAGGCTCTCCCCACCCCTGCCCCCTCCCCATCCATCCCCAGGGCAGCAGGAGCATCCTCCGTGTTCCATCCGGATCCTGCCACCTCCGGCGCTGGCTGCACTGGGAGCGGGTCCCACCCTGTCCCCCGCAGCTGCCACCTGCCCCTCCTCTAGAAACGCTGTAGCTGAATCGTAGTCTTTATATTTTTTCTTTTTAATCTGCAATCTGAGGTAGCGTAGTGAGTGTCGTGTATTTAGTGGCGTGTTATTTTTAATCGCGGTAACTAACTTGTGGACATCAGTATTTTCAATTTTCTCTGTATCTTCTTTCTATGTGGTCTGTGCTCCGAGTGTACGTGAAATGAAACACGTTTGCCCTTTCAATGTGTCTAATATTGAATTATACTTATATATTATATATATGCTTATATCCTTCTTATACCCATATAGACCAACGTCGATGTGTTACACGCAAGTTTTATACTCTAATATTTATATTGCTTTTTTTCTTTGGGAAAAAAAAATAATAAAACGGTTTCTTCTGAATGGATGGTATTTATTCTGATGGGAAAAGGGAGGCACAGATGGGGTCTGGCCGCCCTGGTGCTGCTGACAGGGGGTGCTCCAGCAGTGGGGATGCTCTTGGGGCATCCCAAGGTGTTCCCCAGGCCTGCTCTGGTGGCACCTCCATCCTCTGGTCACCCAGGCCTTCGAGCAGAGGGAGACGTGACTGAGGGCGTGATGGGGTGGGTACCTACAGCCCCAAGAGGATCCAGCTGCTCCTCTCCATCGCCGGCAGGGATTTGGTCACTGCTGCCCAGTCCTGGAGGACCTGGAGAACCAAACCCAGCCGGGATTCCATCACCACAGGAATCCACTCTCCCTTCCCCAGCCCTGATTTTGTTTCCGTGCTGTCCCCTCTCCGCACTTGGGGACAGTGGGTGGGACATTCAGACATCGTAACCGGAGCTGCTCCCCGGCCAAAACAATCCTCCCACCCTCTCTCTGCGGGGGTCCAACACAGCGGAGGAAAAACATCCCGTGGCTCAGGGTGTCGCAACCCTGGAGGAAAAAAAATAAACTGCTGCTGGCCAGATGTGAGGGAGAGGGCGGGGGAGGCGGGGGCAGAGCAGTCCCGGGAGACAGACAGACAGACAGACAGACAGAGCCCGGGATTGGGGGTTGGGGCTGGTCCCTCCTGTTAGCAGAGCACAGGAGGCTGCAGGTGTGCAGGGCACAGCCCCCATCCCTGTATTCCCATCCCGTCTCTGCCCAGGTGAGGCTCTGTGGCCTCCACCCTCTGCCCCCCGAACCCCTGAGACAGAGACCCCTGAAAATCCCCGCGCACCTCTCAGAGGGACATTCCTCTCCCCAAATTCCCTTGCATCCCACAAATCCAGCTCTCCTTCCTCCCCTGTCCCCTGGGGACAGCCCTGGTCACACACCCACACACACGGAGAGGGGGGTTCTAACCAGAGCATCCTCCTTTGGGACAGGCCACAGGGGAGGCCACGGGGGTCAGGGCAGTGACAGGGCAGGGATTTGCTGCTCTGCGGTCCCTGTGACACCGTGTCCTCTGTCCCCAGCCCCGGAGCTGTTGTCCCTCCCATGCCGGATCACCTGGAGTGCATCAGGGACAGCTGCAGGGGGATGGTGGGGATCAATCCCATCGACCCGCAGCTAATGGACAGCAGGGCTGAGCTGCTCTCCATTCCAGGTGCCACCCGCGGGTTGTCCCCAGCAGCTGTCCTGGCCGGGGTGGCTTCATCCCAGGGCACAGGGCATCACTGCCCGCTTGGCTGGTGATGCCACCTTGGTGCCTGTGATGCCTTGGGTTTTAGCTTTTCTATTTTTCACAATCTCTGCTGCTTAGTGTGGAACTCTGAAACTTCACATTAGGTGTTGGTGAGTTCTCTTCACAGGGGACTCAGACAAAACAATTCCTTTCTAGCTGGACAATCAAGGACAACTGGTACCCAAAAAGCAGAAACAGCAGCGAGGGAAAGGGGGCAAGGCAGGGGCTGAGACTTCATAGCCTGGGGCTGTGGGTGGATCATTGACCCCAATGTGCAGATGAAC